GATGATGTCCTTTTTGTTTTTGAAAGCTTTCTCTATTGATTCTAGCTCCAGCGTATAGGATTTGGTTCCATTTTCTCGCTCTTGTTGCTCGCCAATGAAACTAGCTTCTCGGTTGTCTGATTCCGACACTATGGATGCTGCGCTCTTAAGCAGCACCAAGCTTTGTTTTGCATCCATTCCAACAGAGTCTAGTTCTGTTTTCAGAGCATCCATAGCTATTTTTAGCTCTACCAGATCCTTTTCTAGGAAAGCCTTTTCGCTTTTCAATAATTCGGATTCACTCTCCAAACCATGCTTCGCTGTTAAGAAACTCTGGCGCTCAATTTTAACTTTCTCAAGCTCTTGTACAGTTGTTTCAATCATCTTCTCTGATTTTAAAACCTCTGCCTTAAGATCCTCTCCGTTTTTCTTCTCCACTTTAAGTGCTTTATCAGCTTTTTCTCTCTCGAGTGCAACCTGCTCAAGCGCATTGCTTAGCTCTCCAACTTGGCAGCTAAGCTTCTCGTTAGTCTTAGCTCGATCATTACAATCCTTTCGCAGCACATCGACGGCATGCGTTAGCTCATCAGCTTTTCGATTCAATTCAACAAGCTTTGCCTCCTGGCTACAAATACGCCCCTCAAGCTGAGTCTTCTCCCGAGACAACTGGTCAATCAACTTCTCCTTATCAGACGACTGCACATTGATCATCTCCATCTGTTTTTCAACTGAATTCTTCTCCTTCATTATCATCTCGAGCGCAGATTCCTTGATCGTTTTCTCTTTCCCTAATGCATCGATTCGCACCATCATTGCTCTCTCTTTCTCCATAGACTCAGCAAGATTCTTCTCCAACCCGAGAACCAGATCCCGCAAAACCTTCTCTTCCTTCGTCAAACTCTGCAAAATCTCATCCAAATTGTCCAACTTTTTCTCTAACTTCTCAATTTCCTTCTTTTGATCAATCTTTACAATCTCCATCTCATTCTTATCACCCAAAAGCACCTTGATTTCTCTCTTCAATCCATCGATCTCCTCCTTCTTCTCTTCAATCGTCTTCTCCAGATCAATCTTCTCCTTGTTAACCCCATCAATCAACTCTTCCCTCATCTTCCTCTCCTTCACCAATCCATCGTTTTCAGATTTCAATTTCCCAATCACAATCTCCAAATTCGATTCTTTCTCCTCCAAACGAATCACACTCTCCTTCAATCGATTCGCTTCCCCACACTGCAAATCAAACCCATTCTTGATCGAATCCCTCTCAGCACAAACCTTCCTCAACTCTTCCTTCTCGATCTCCACCTTACCCATAACCTCATTCGCTTCTCTTTTCAAAACCCTAATCTCGCTCTCTCTATCATCTTTCTCCATCACCAACCTATCAATTCCAACACCTACCTCCCTAAATCGATCGCTAACAAGATCCATAACCAAACCCAATTCCATCTTCAACCCGAAATTCTCGTCACTAACCTGTTCCAACTCGTCACTTAACCCAGTTTTCTCCGACCCATAGCGAGCCAACTCGGTCTCCAACTCATCCTTAGCCTGAACAAGCGACTCAATCTGATGTCTGTTCTCCATAGTCTGCTTGAGAAGCATCGCGTTGAGAGACTTCAAGTTCTGAACTTTCTCCTCTGAAGAATCGTGGTGGTATTCCATGGAAGATTGCCGGCTAAGTACCGTCGCTTTCTCGTCACTCGCGGGGGGATTCTGGTTATCAGTAGCGGTGGCGTTACTCTTACGGGTTGGTTTCTTCTTGGCCATTGTTTTTGGATATTCTCGAAGATTTTAGGTTTTGGGGATTTCAATCGTTAGGGTTTTTGCGATGTTTGAGAAGAGACAGAGAGATTGTATAGAGATTGGGGAAGATAAAGATAAAGTGAAGTGACGAAACGGTTTTTTGGGGGATTTTACAAATTCAAAATTTGGGGCCCATAATTAAATGTACAAGATTACAGATATTTTCGAATTTTTTTAAAAAAAAACGCTAGACTTTTAATGTAGATTTGACTCTTTGAAGAAGTAAAACAGCACGCACTTCTCAAGAACTACTTGCCGTTTTTTCCTCAAAACCAATTGAATCATGTTAAAGTTCTCTACTACTCTTGTAGGCCTTTTGTAACATTTCGGAAAATGATCTAGAATGTAAAATATTATTGAAAAAGAATAACAGAACACTCAAGATATTGAGCCTTTTTTGTTTAACAAGAATTCGATCCATTATGTGTTTTAAAAAAAAAAAGAATTCGGATCCGTTCTGTTAAATTTTATATTTCTTTGATTTGATCATTAACATGTTCTTATTCCTTTTACCTATGACAATCTTGTTAATGAAAAGCTCAAAGTTACAAGGAGTTACGTTTGAAAATATTGCATAGAAAGGGGAGTAAGAGCATATTATATAATCTTATTAAAGATAATCGTTGTCTTAGAACGCAGGTGCAAAACAATATAAAAAGCTTCCAATAATGGA